ATTTATATATATTGTACAAGCTGATTTTATAAGTTTAATAAATTTCATCATTTTAGTAAATAAATTATCTTCAGGTATTACAAAAATTAATATACTTAATACAAAGATGTAACTCTTATAATATAAATTACTTTTTAAGAGTACTTCATATTAAATCATATCTATAAATCTATTTTTATGTTTAAGACGAAAAATTAGAATACCAATTAGTATGATGGTAAAGTACTAGGAACTGTACTAGCGAATTTAAATTTAATTACACGAGTACATAATTTGTTATTATTACAATTTATTGGATTAATCGACAACCTTTTTTATAACTGAGTATTTGAAAACTATTATCAGATTATTTTTTTTAAATTAATAACCATTTTTTTATAGTAATTTTATCTTTATTTTTTTATGAATAAGTAATAAGTAATAAACATATGATGACGTTATGTTTAGTATGTTTCAGCACGTATCGTTGATATTTTAATGWATCGTGGTTGGAAATTGTAGAAAAGTAGAATCATTTTGGCTGTATTTTATTTATTAACCAGTATAGTTTAGAATCTAAACTTGAGATAAAAACGATGAACAACTTTTCATAATATATAGTAGTTCATTTTAAATTAAAGAAAGCCTGCAGGAGGATGTCATTTTATATAAACATTTATTTATTTTTTACAATATACCAAATATTTCTTTTAACTACTTCAACTATAGTTTTCTTTGTTGGTTTGTGTTTGATATTTTGAGTAAAGTAAAGAGTATATGACAAAGTCTTACGATGGTTAACCTATTTCCCGAACACGTACAAAATAAATTATCTGAACGTTTCATGTAGTAAACATTTTTAAGTATAGTTGGTATAATAATGGTAGTTTGAAAAGAAGATTTTCCATTTTTTCGAAGTACTTAGTTATACTCTATATGAAAATCTTCATCGACAAAACACGTTAAAGAATGAGTCGATGACTGCTAGCTGGTATTAACATAGAATACTTACCTCAGAATCATTTTTAAACGCGATTATTGATTTTTATCATTTTAAAATTTGATTTTTCAAGCACTCACATAATTGTCCAAATTGGCTATTAGTATTATATTTTGTAAAATA